AACGTTGTATTTAAATCTTTGCAGAGTAAAGTTGGTTGAATGTATGGAAAGAAATACGAGTAAACTAGTAAGCAAAAAGGAAAAAAAACAACAAAAAAAAAAAAAAAAAAAAAAAAACCCACCTCAACCTTTCTTTCCCGAATATTCGTGCTATCTATTCAACTTCAGTAGTATATAATATTTTCTCATGGAACGGTCGCCGGATATCTTTGCACTTTGCAAAACAAACTTAAATTATTCCCTTGCTACTAATGACTTTTCTGTTCTAGCCCCCAGACAACTCTCATATGCGCTTTCGTCTTTCATTATTATACTCTGTTAGCTACCTATTTTTCCTTTATCGCCCATTCATCTCAGGGCAGCAGTACATTAGACATAATCCCTGGCAGTATAGGAAAGACACTCTCTCTTGATCCATCTGCGAACATCTTTGTCTTCGGTGATTTTAATGCGCACCACAACACGTGGCTTAAACATCCTAATGGTACTGAAGTTCTTTCCATTACCAGCATGTTGATTGGGACTCACTCCATGAATTTCTGAAAGACGACCCTTCGATTGATATCTTTAACTTTAAAACTGATAATTGCATTACTGAGATTTCCTTTTCAGTCAAAGCAATTATGGATGCTTTCATTCCGTCTCGGCAATATCAGTTGAAATCTCAATGTTCTCCATTGTTCAAACTAGAATGCTCTGCCGCTATAGCCCAAATAAACTCTACTATTTTCGGCTATACCAGTGTGACAGCTCCCACCAAAACAGACACATCACAATTCGTTGTTGCTCGTAATAAGTGTAAACAAGTCCTCGAAGGAGCTAAATATATGTATTGCATCAAATAACTTTGACTCTCCTGATTACTGGCGACTCTGGAATAGTGTATTAAATAAGTGTAAGGTAGCTATTTCTCCTCTCTTCAATCTATTTGAGGTGTTAACATCTGCAGATAAAGCTGAATTTTCACCCGTAAATTATTATTAAACTCATCTGGAGTATTCCTGCCAAACTTCCTACTGAGAACTGAGTCTTTATTGAGTGATATGTATATAAAAACTTCTATGGCTTCTGCTATCATCTCTAAACTGGATCCCCGCAAAGTATGTGGACCTAATACTATCCCTCTAATAATTATTAAAAAGTGTGCTCTCGAACTGTCTCCTGTTCTCTCTAAACTGTATAATAAATGCATCACTGCCTCTTACTTTCCTGCTTGCTGGATGTCCTCACCCGTTGTTTATTTTTAAGAAATTGGATGAACCATCCGAGCGTTCCAACTATCGATCTATTAGCCTTCTGCCTCTTTTTGCCCAAAACGACATTCAGTTGTTAACTGGGGCAAAGGATGTCTTGTTAATTTTAACGCCTCAAATACTAAAATGCTCTCTCTTACTCATCTGAGATACTCACTGGCTTCTGTCAGCATGTCTGATGCTAACATCCAGGAAAGGGACTCGAACCTTCTCATACTTAGAATGTTGCTGCGGCATATGATCCGGTGCTCCTGATATTTATCTATAGCTCTTTGATAAAATCTAAAGATAGATGAGCAATATTATTGGCCCTGATCTGGCGTCTCGGCTTAAGTCAAACCCCACCCACCCCGCCGCCGTAAGGTTGCATCTTTGTGTATTTTATATAAATACTTTCATGGCAATTGTTCGTAGGAGCGCTTCGCATTTCTTGTTTGTGGAACACCCTTTCGACACCATTATTTCCGGTCAACTTTAACCTTCAAATATTTGAATGCATTGTCAAACGTTATCACGTGTCCTCCTGATCACAGTTCTGTTGATCTCACTCTTTAGTAATGTTTCAAATTCTTCCACACCCAGTAATCCGCTGATGTGATTACAGCCAACACTGAGTATGTATATCAAGCACGTAATCCAAACTGCAGAGCTCGAACTGTGGCTCTAGATATCTCGAAGACATCTGACAGGGTTTGACACGCTCCAGGTCTTCTGTTACCATAGGACGAATATTTGATTTAAACAAATCGTTCCTATGAAATTGTGAAATGAAAGTGAAATGGATCCTTTAACACGGGCGCGAGTGTCCCCCAAGACTCTATTAATGATCTCTCTGATGTCATCAGTTTCACACTAAGTATTTATGCAGATGACATTACTATTTATTTTTGTTTCAATAGCAAATCCGTCAGAACTGAGAAGAAAACCTGGCTGCTGCTCTTGAAAAGGACCTCCATTCTGTGGTTAACTGGGACAGGAAATGTAAATTGTAACACCTCCAAAACAAAATGGGCTTTCTACAAATATTTACATGTCAACTGCTCTAACAAGCTTTTTTCACCAAGTTACTGTTGAAATAGCTAAATTCAATCGTTACTTCTACTCCAACAATCTTTTCACGCATTTTCCGCCTGCGGAACTCCTTCTTACCTTATAACTACAATCGTCAAAAATTTAAATGGAACGCCAAGCGCCAATTCAATCCCGTTCATCTTTTGGCCTTTCCTCAAACCTCCTTATACTCAGATTTTCTTTCAATTCACTCCCTGTAATCCCCTACGTACTAGTGGAATTTTCACCTTGCTTGGAGTGAAATGATTAACCCTTTCTCTAAAAAAAAAACCATGTGTCTTAGTGGCATTACTGCCTTTCTTAGGGTAACTCAATTAATACATACATGCATACATATATATATATATATATATATATATATATATATATATATATATATATATATATATATATATATATATATATATATATGTGTGTGTCTGCCCAGGGTTGTCCTGAAAATTTTCGACGCTCAATATCGGAGAACTTGTTAATAGATGTATTTAGCATGTACATAGAATCAACATTAAATGGTGACTGTAATTTTGACACTTAAATATTACCTTCAGATCACACACACAAACAAATGCGCGCGCACGCACACACACAGAGAGACACAGACACACACACACACGTATATATATATATATATATATATATATATATATAAGTTTTCGACTGGAAATATTTACAAAAATCTGACCAAATGACACCAATTTATTTTTCAAAGTTTTTGATCGGACCAAGAACCTTTCAGCTCGCCGTTGTCTATCTCATTACATTCTATCTATCTATCTATCTATCTATCTATCTATCTATCTATCTATATCTATATATATATATATATATATATATATATATATATATCTCAGTTAAGAAAATGTACTGCTCTAAATGTATGGAAAATGAATGAAATCTCATAAAAAAACGAATGAAAATGTAGATCAGAAGAAAATAGATAAAGAAAATGCGATCAACCAATCCTTTTATTATTCTTTTTCAAACGTTGCAGTCTTAAATTTTATAGTTTACCATAAATATAATTTATTGTTACTGATACTAACATAAATTAGTTTTACTTGTTGTTGTTGGTAATGGTAATAACGTTACTGATTATGGCCAAAGCTATCGATAATATTATCATATTATTTAAATTTTACTCTAGCCGTGATTCACATTGTCCAGATGTTTGTCAGTTTTTCTCATATACTTACTATTGCCAGCTCCAAAAACGTTTACATACGCGATAATCATTCATCTGAGTTTTTGTATATATACATATTGAAATGTTGATCTTGCCTCTTTTGATCTAAAGTGTTTCTTTTATTAATGTTGATATTTTCCCCCATGACAATTTTGGGTTGGAAAACCTTTGAAATAAAACTATTTCGCTTTGACATATTTGTAAAGAAGAAGAGATCAAAGCATTACATCTGCAATTTAACCAACATTATTTCTTCTGTTTCACATATTTGTTTTTTACTTCTTTTTCTCAAGATTTTTTTGAGTGTATTCGTTTCTTTCTCTTGTATTTCCTTTCCTTTTTTGCTTTCTGGCTTCTTTCTTATATTTCTATGTTCATCTTATTATTTTACTTTGCCATTTTTCTTTCTTTCGTTTGTTTTGCTTTTCTACATTTATCAAATGTTTTATTTCTCTTTCATGTTCTCAAGTATAAACAATTCAAATTCTCACCTTTTTCTACCTTCGTATATATATATATTTTTTTCTCAGAAATTACATCAAGGTAAGAGGATTATCTGAAACCGTGAGAGGACTCTATATTAATCATATATATATATATATATATATATATATATATATATATGTGTGTGTGTGTGTGTGTGTGTGTGTGTGTGTGTGTGTGTGTGTGTTAAAAAGATAAAAATAAAACAACAAATGAAAACTACAGACAAAAGTTCATTTTCTCCATCAAGACATTCATTTCTGTAGTTTACTGCTACCAGCAAGCAGGAATATTTCTTCTCCTGATGATGGCCATTTTGGCCGAAACTAGTCGAAGAATCTAAATGAAATAATAAAAAAAACGAAAGAATATTAATCTACAACCCAGTCTGTCTGAAGATTTTAATTTTTTAATATTTTTTTATTCTTCAAAATATCTATCTATCTATCTATCTATCTATCTATCTATCTATCTATCTATCTCTCTCTCTCTCTCTCTCTCTATATATATATATATATATATATATATATATATATATATATGATGAATATAGAGTCCTCTAACGGTTTCAGTTAACCCCTTACCTTGATATAATTGAGAAAATACTTTCAATGTGCTTTCCTATCGTAGCATTTAAGCAAGAATAAATTACAGAACCGAATGTTGTGTATTGAAACGTATGTAATTTGGCAATAAAGTTTTGATGCAATATTTACTCTACTTCTCACACTTTTCAAGTTTTTTAGCTTTGAAATTTAAAGTTAGTCTGAAATTATTTATAGAAAAGGCAAATGGAGGCGACATTATGTCTGTCGAAAAGAGACTGAAGCTGAGATGCCATGTCTAGTCAAATAACATTTTAAGAATGTTTGGGATATAATAATAATTTTCTGATAGAATTTCTACTAATCAATGCTAGCTTGGAGAGAAGAGATGGATTCATATCTTTCACAATGATATTTGTGCGTAACTTCTCGATTTTCAGTTCCGAGCCGTTACACCATCTGCGAATTCAAGCAGTCACCCATCTAGGTACCGCCTAAGCTCAACGTTGCTTAACTTCGATGATCGCACGAGAACAGGTGTTTCAAAGTAAACTGTAAGCCAGAAGAATTGAAAAAGGCTGCAAAATCTGCAGGACGTAACGTTGTAGAAACAACGTAAATTATAAAAAGAACAAGTTTAGTTATCTGAAAGCCTTCATCGTTTGTTAAAATTTCCAAAAAAGAACATAAACAGTCATTGCTTAAAAACATTTAATATTATTTTCTATTGGTTTGTGAATTGGTTAAACATATCACACTTCAAGTGAGTGATGGTAATTTTCGATAAGTTCTCGCAGCAGTAAATCAAATTCTCATATGATATTTGATTTTGTAACAGCGAATTGCGGTTTCTAACACGGTCTAATGACGTCCTCACCACGTCATGCAGGCTGCGTTATGATTATATTCCAAATTGTGTCAATTTCCTAAACTAATTCCTCAGTTCTTCGCCTCCATTACTTACCCTTGCCGAATCATTTATTTGCATTGATTTTCGTACCTGTGGGATGATCAGTGTGTCCAATGCGGCCGTTGTGTTAGCGCCCTTCTATCGAGATAACTGCATCAGTTATAGAAATTAGAGACTGCTATGTCGACCCAACTTCACATTGTGCATCCGAATGTCGTTCTTTCCTCATTAAAGTCAGATGTAGTTAGTGAGCTCTTCATTGAGGCACTGTGTTGGTGAAAATCACCAGAATAACGTCTCCACACGAAGTCAGGCTCTTCGATCAAAAGTCTGAAATTGCTTCTAATGAGGTTAGAATAGTAACGCCTGCCTATAAATGAAGGTTTAGCTAGTTAATTCCGTTTACCATTGCTAATTATAAGCATTTGGTCCTCACTGGTTGCTCTAAAGTTGTAACTTTGTAATAGAAAACATATCTAAGCTTGTTAAATATCTGCTTACAAGGAACTTGTAATAGAGCAATAGTTAGTAATCAAATGTTGCAGACAGAACATTAGTTTAACGATTTAGATCCACACTGAATTTTCTGTTTTACAGCTTTTTACTAAAACCGCGCTTAGTAAATCTAACGCATAAGGAAACTGGAAATGATTTTCTTTTAATGAAAAATTTTCTTTACGCGTGTAGTTTAGAGAAGGATATAGACATTTAGTGTTTGATTATACAAAAAATAATATTTTTCTAACTAAACGGTGTGATGTGATTTTTAAAACCTTTCTAGAAGAAATGGGTTTTCTTGACTTTGTTTTTTGAAAATGGAGAAGAAAGACATGTTTCGATGTTTACAACAAAAAACGATGAACCGGATGTAGGCGATCGTGACTCTTTGGATATTCTTTCTTTATTATCTGTGAATGGCCATGCATTCTTAGAAAAGGTAGTGGAAGTTTTCCGTTGCCTTCCCCACAATTTTGAAATGAAGAATTTTCCTTCTCTTAGACGTGTTGGCAACCAAGTCTAGGGAGACCAGTCGACCCTGATATATAATTGTTAACTGTGCGAAGAAGAAACGTGTTCATACCGCATTAGTTCAAAGGTGAACGTAATAGTCTAGACCGAAATTTGAATTCGACTTGCTGAGTCTAATTTTCAAGTCGGTATCTGTTATACTACTCGCTAATCCTTTGCAGTAATTAGTATCTGAAATTTAGAATGGCACACCTACAATAGCATTTTAGACACAGTTCCTTCTATTTTAAAGGCAAGAATGGATTGGTATTTACTATGCTTGGTTTATTTGAGTTCAAAACCAGAAGTATGGAATTTTTTAAAAACAAAGACATTACAACAGTAATAATCTGCAAGACTAGCTTGTTGACCATCGCTTCCGGTTTAGTCTAAGAATTTATCCTTAGAAAACAATTCATGTTTGAAGGCGGTTACATCCCAACTTCCAATGCATGAAAAAATAAAAATGGTCATTTGATTCGAACCCATTTCGGAATCATGTCAATAGTTCAGTTGCAAATATGTAATAGCTGGTCGCTCGTATCAGATTATGCGTAACTACAAGGATGGGTGGCCAATCCCTGTTGTAGACGCCTGTTTAAGCACATTTGTGTTTGTTCAACATCCACAGAGCCCCCCCCACACACACAGAGATTATTATCTAACATGATCTACAGTCAACAAGTATGCTCAAACCTTCGATCACGATAACTTGTGACTTCATACTAGCACAATCATTGACAGCTCCCAAATAGTTCTGTTTAACCAATTTCACTTACGAGGCATAGGTCAACGCGTGGTACAGTTTTTAGTCACTTTCCAAAGGTGCCACAGGCTGGGACTGCATCCCCAGGCCGATGTGCTAGCATGAAGTTACCTTCCTGACAAATCGATTATAGTGAGATTCGAGCCTAGGTTTCATGGTCGAAAGTGAATGTTTTAACGACCACGTGTCGCTATTGTATGTAAATACCACAATAGAAAACATATTTTATAGATACAAACTGTTTATGTCATTCAAAATATCGTCAGTAAGATTTATTAGACTAATACATTGAAACTTTCATTCACTTCACGGACTTCATAAACGCAGGGTGCTGAAAGTGCCGATCTGATCTATATCATAGGAAACATTGATTAGGTAGAGAACTATCCAGTCCTCTATCGTATAATCACAACAAGTTCTGGTAATACCGAAAAAAAAAACTAATCCACAGTTGAATTTTAGCGTCGACTGCATTTGGATCATGAGTATAAAATCAATGTTTGGGTTTATCCGATCGCTGCCCTCAACGTTACCATTTCTTTTCTGCTTTACTTTTTATTTATTTTCTGCACCAGCAGTTTTTGATGGTGGGAGAAAATGATGAATAAATATTGAAAGCACTAAATGAAATTCTTTTTAGCTAATTTCGGCAGTTAATCTGTATGATGTGCATGGAAAATGAAAAAAATAAGAAAGAATGAAATTTTACGAGATCATAAATTAATACGTGTGTTACTGACAAAATATATTTCTTATATGTATATATGAATCGTTGATGTTATTTGCTCTGATCCGTGGGCAGGAGAATGGAAAGTGTGCTAAGATTTCAAGTGGGAGAGCTCTACATGTCTTGAACATCACCATTCGAAATCCTGGATTAATCTCGACACAAACATCAACTGTTTTTTCAAGTGGAAGAAATGGAACTACTTCACCTGCCAAAGGAATCTCACATTGGGTTAGATGGAGGAATTGACTTTGCCCGAATGGTATTCGTTGTGTTTCCATTCCAACAGCTGGAAATGAAAATTTAGATTTTGTTCGTTATCCACATGTATGCATGTTGACATTATAAACAGAAGCAGACGACTTTCTCGAACAATTAAATACAGTAATCCATTTTATCTACAAAGTGTACAGTCCAATGCTCCTAGCGGATACCTGAATTTGTGAATAGTACAAGAAACTATATATATTGATTTTTCTATTACACATATACATCCTTGTAATAAAGTTTAATTTTAAAATTAGGCACAACATTCGCACTTGCGGTAGATATTAGCAAACTTAGCATACGATACTTTGCTTTCTTTATTAAGTCGATAACATTTACTTGTTAATTGAAATAAAGCATTTCATTTCTCTTCTTTTTGCATATCAAACGATTTAGGATATGTTTTGCATTGATGTAAGTTGGGTATTCGTTTTAAACTCATTTTTTTCAGAAAGAACATTTAAATAAAACAAATTTATATAAGGTCTTAGCACACAAGATGAAATGAAATCAGCTATTAAACTGATGAAATATGCCGACAAAATAAAAATAGATAAAACACTTTCCTTTTATAAGTAAGAAGAAAAAATGATTTTTACAATAAAAAGAAATTATATAAAATATAACGACCGCGCTTAATAAAAAACCCCCCCAAAAACATGGCAAAAACAATTCGATTTAAAAAGTAAACAATAACTACAAAAAATAAAAGCAAGAAACAAATACTTTTGCCAAAGGCCTCAAAGAAAATCGCGTCTTTTTGTTTTCAAGTAAAATATAAGTTAATGTTTTTGAAAAAGAATATTAAAAAAAAAATTACTGATAGTAATCTTCAAAAATATTCAGTCAGTATTTTGCAAAGACGACGCGATTACTAAAAAGAAATATATTCCTTGAGAAAATCGTTACATAAACCCCAAAATATTGATATATTGACGTCAGTAGTCAATCTATTATATGAACTGATTACAGAAAGATTCTTGGACAGAAGAAGAAAACCTGAAAAAATTCTTTATCATTTCCTTACATTTTGGGAATTGAAAACATTTCGGCGCCCACTTTATACATACCTACATATATACAGGGTGTCCATACAGTTCGTATGCACTTTAAAAACTTTATTTATATTTGCGATAAAAATAATCTATAAAAAATGTTATAAAGTTTAATGTACCTAGTTTTAATCATAGCTAAAATAACTAATGTGATTTCAGGCATTACTGTAAATCAGTTGGCAAATGTTTTCCGTGAACTGCAAAATCGTATTACCATTTGTATTGCTAATGATGGAGTACACGTGGAAACTTAAATAAAATTTCAATGAAACCTTAAAAAATATAGATTTACTTCTTTCTAATCCTTTTCACAAATTATTTCTATCGCAAATACAAATAAAGTTATAAATTTTTAAAGTGCACACGAACTTTATGGATACCCTGTACACACATACACACGCACACACACACACATATATATATATATATATATATATATATATATATATATATATATATATATATATATATATATATTTTCAGAATTTTTGGTCAGTACCTGACGATTGCATTGTGCATGAAACTCAGAGTTGGGCTACCGATGAGGAATACCGAATGTATTTTATTATTCATATAAATTTTGACTCTGTTATTATACATTGAACACTATTTTATTAGAACCAGCAATGTGCAATATTTTATATTTGTTTTATATTTATATCTATGTGTGTATAGATAGATATGTAGAAGTTTTGGAGAAAGTTACAATTCAAATATACGTTATGCGCTCTGGCGTGTATAATAGTTAACGAGGCTAGTGAGTTCGATTCTCACTAGGTAACCCATTAAAGAGACAACATTAATTATGCTATG